GGCCGGCGCGCGCCTGCTGGCCCTGCGGACGCCCGCACACCCGCAGCCGCTGCACTTCGTCGTCGAGGCCAAAGCGAGAGTCAAACAGCTCAAATCGCTGGCCGATTCACATGCACAACTACAGGGCATGATCGACACCGAACTCTTTGGATTAGCAATCATGCAAAGTAAATTATTTTCGAGATAAGTCCTGATAAGATTTTATCGTTAAATAAAATATCGAAAGCTAATAAACCTCTTTTTCAGATGGCGAGTATCTGTTTGTTGACGCAGAAAGCAAATTATCGAAATACGCACCAAAGAGTTGGAGATCATCTCATACACATGTAAGTGGTTTATTTCGTGATTTTTTCCTTAATTATTAATCATTTAACATCTCTAGTTATATATTATGAATTTCTTTCATTGAAAACATTAAATGTTTTCTTTATTTCATTTTCAGGGCTTGGATGCAAATGGAAAACCATTGCTTGAGCTACACCTAGTCGTACAGTTTCATGTTGAAAGTCCACTTCTATTGCACGATGAAGTCGGCCGACATTTATATTTTCTACAACTACTTCACAATTTACGAACGAGAGACGGATTGCCAGCCGAGGTTGTGCTATTGCTTATTGGGCTAGCTCTTCAAGCGAATTACGGAGATGCGGAATCCTATGAGGACCGGGATTATTTCAAATTGGAAGATTATGCACCTTCTTCTCTTACTGGGGATTGGGTAAACGCAGCTGTACGTGCTTGTCATCAAGAACACAAAGGTTTGTCAAAAGCAGACGCAGAAACCAGATTTATACGTGAAATTTGCCTACTTTCCGATACAATAAACTCTCATAGGTATCGTTTAAAACAAACGAAAACAGAATCAGAACCAGGGACAGTCTGGCTTTTAGTCACTGCAAAAGGAATAAAAATAATACCTGATAGTGGACCAGTATCGAACTTCATTTGGAGCTCCATAGGAAAATTAAGTTTCGATAGAAAGAAATTTGAAATTCGCACTGAACGAGGAAAAATCACCTTGTATTCTTCGAGTGAAGAAAAATGCAAATATTTATTTTCTCTATGCAAAGACACTCACCAATTCTCGATGAAAATTTCTTCAAAACTCAATGAGATTTTAAGGCGTGAAGAAGATGAACGTAAAATTTGTTACGGATATTCCAAAACGCTAAATTTCCAGTTTTGTCAAAACAAAAATGAACAAAGGATATCTCTGATATCCTCTACAAGCTCTAACACAACATCGGGAATTGTTAGCGACCGAGTGCAATCGGAAGATGAGTTAGAAATTATGATAGACACGCCCCCAGCACCTTCGACGGAAAGTTTAGCTTTTGCTCACTTATTAGACTGTTCAAATTCCTACCTTATACGTCACATGCCACAAGATAATCAACTTTTAAAAAAAACATCATCCCTACAATTACAAAAACCTAAAATTCGCGTGAAAAAAAATAAAGATGAAGGGGAGAGTTCATGTAACAATGAAGTTTCACTAGAAAGATCGAATTCCACTTGTCAAGAAGAAAACAATTCTTTGATTGATCAAAGCCCCAATGAAACCTTATCAGACAGCCCTGTGTCTGGAAAAATCAAATGTCCCGGTTCCCAATGTTCTTCTTCTTGCAGCACGGTTATAATGAATAGAGCTGGTCTTAGCACCCTAAGCAGAACATCCAATGGAAGCAGCTTGGAACTAAGTTTTAATCATACAGCACAGAATTCAATGATTAGTAACAGCACAGAAGGAATAGACGCAGAGTATTCTCAAGACACAGCATCAGCTTTGTATGACGGTTTAGGCCAACCCGCAACAATCGCCGCCTCTAGTGAAACGAGTGGAGTTTACACTATGGGTAGCTCCGAACTCACGACAAGATCTAAAACTTACACAATGTCTGAGGACTGCAGAACTGAGTACGGAAGTTTACACTATGACAGTTACAAAACATCGAAAGAAAATGATCTTGCCGATTTCGATAGTGTTTCTTCAATCTTGAAAAATAAATCTGAGAGAAACATGATGACATCTAGTTGTCTGCGACTCCAAGCGTCATTATCAAATACTGATTGTGTCGACGGTGTCAACGCCTTTTGCAATCAGGGTCATGTTGATAAAGATAGTATGTATCGAGAACGTGCAAACTCCAACGTTAGTGCTATTTCTTTTCATGGTGATGGTAGTGACCCAACGGATAATAAACGTAATTTACTAAGTGCAAGTGAACTTAGCGATCTGATAGTAGGACGGGGTGTTTACCCAAAAAATCAATCAGTAAGTGACACATTTGACTCGGTGTCGGACTATGTTAGATTACCTTTACCATTTTCTGGTGATAGTTACCTTCAAGGACACGAAGATACAGCTCCCTCAGATGACAACTATCTTAATAATGCATTTTTCGATAGACCTCCAACGCCACCGACCAGAATCGATAGCCGTAAGTCGCATAATCTTTCCCTACCAAATATTTTGGAAATCAAGGGAAATTTACCAATCCCACAACGATTTCCCGAAAAACCGCCGCCTCCTTATGAATACAATCACAAAACCCTTTCATCGTATAATACAAACGCTAAGCCGCCACCTGCTTATCCTGGAATAACTGGTATAACTAGAAAACAAAAAGGCGACAAAGAAGAAGTGGCAGCCAGAGTTGTGACTTCTAAACCGATGATAACAATTTTAAAGGCGGAGGCGGGTGAAGTGAATACTTCTAGCGAACGGACATTTGCTAGTCCAATGGTCTTAGAACACAGATTTCAGAAATCAAAAAGACATCAAGCTTCTAGTCGTAGAGCAGAGAGGTCCAAATTAGCACAAGGTATAACCAATAGTTTGTCACCGTCAAGAGAAATGCCACTACACGGCGTAGATTCAAACGTGTTTGTAGCAATGATGAAACTCCCCCCACCACCGCCGCCGCCCAGACATTCTCGCCTGCCTCCGCCGCCGCCCACAGCGCGCCTGCCGCCCCCACCACCGCCGTTAAATCCCGGCTTTCATCAACAACTATATAGCGACGTAGATTACGTTTACTACCCACTCCAGGATCCTGCAGTATCCCAACAAAACTACCTTGATCACAAATTTACAGAATCCCGATTATCAAATCTTCATAAAAATAATATTCAGTATCGTAGTACACCATATCTATCGACTTCTCTATCTGCATCGTCCACCTATGGATCAATACAAAATCTATCCGATTCATACATCCAAACACCGGGTGCGCGGACTAGTTGGTACTCGATGACCAGTAGAACGTCGCTTAGTTCGCATTCTATAAATTTTGAGAGGCCACCCTTACCCCCGAGTATTCCGGATATCGGTACTTTCTGCAGAACTAAATCTCATGAAAACATTTTGAGTGTTAAAGATCCTCCACCGGTTAAACTAAGACGCATGCCGCCGCCTCCACCGCCTCCATACGAATACAAGAAGAAGTTGCCCACGCAACTGCGAGAAGCAAAAATTCCGAATTATAATGTTAATGTGAATAGCGATGTAAAAGTCGCTAAAATTAGAGATTCTAATTGTGATTTAGATATAAAAACTCTTAGGGAAAAAAGCAAGAACTTAGATTTGCCTTTAATCGCGGCTTTATGCAACGACCGTTCGTTGTTAAAGCAAACAAAAGCTTTTGGTGCTCCCAAGTTGGTTAAACAAACAGTTAGTGACTGTGAAAGTGAACTAAAATGTGCCAAGCCCGTTCAAAACACCACCGATACCGTAGATCTTAAGAATAAGCAAGAAATAAACACTAGGAGACCCGTACCTGTACCGGGGACTCAGAAAAAAATTGTAATGCGTAATCCAACTGACAAACTTCCAGCATTGCCCGGTGCGGAAACTCACACACCTAGAGCTTTGTCTAATACGTACGTAATGCATCCTAATGTCGCAGTTAAAAGTAAAAAAAATCAGCCTAATATGTGACAACACATTTCTTGTGAATCCTCCCAGTGCTATGAGCTCATATATACATCTAAACCTAAAAGACTGAAATTAGTTAGATACTATACGCTGACTCGAATTTTCGTTTTAAACATTACAAGTATTTTGAATTTATCTATTTACTACAAAATTCGAATCAACGAAGATTTTATCTTTCATTAGTACAAGTTGTATGAATACAATATAAAGATGTTTTGATATATGTATGAAATCAAAACATACAGTTAATTCTTATTACCACGAAAGTATTTTTACGTCGCGCTAAATAAGTTCTTTTATAGAATAATAGTTAAGACATTCCAATGGCTCAATCTATTTTTGACAAATATCCTTATTTGCCATATATTTATATAGAACAAAAGTCTGCTTTTGTATAATGTTTTGTTTTAAGAAGAATGATGTATCTATATCGGATTTACTAATATTATAAATCAACTTTATATATGTACCTAGTAAATAAATTTCGAACACTAATAACTTTTAAATAGTGCAACCTGCGTAATTGCTGGAAGCTTTGTTGAACTGGTTTAAATTATTTATAAAAACTTGTTCACTTAAACTATTTAAATTCTCTATTAAATAGCGAATTTCCGTTGTAATAATGATGGTAATACTCAATGTTTTATATTAACGAGAATATGAAGGTATAGAGAACCAATATGTTAATGTAAAGTTGGAAGTTTAGTCGTAAAAATAATAGAAATGTAATAATTTTCAAAGCTATTTATTGACTACAGTCATGTATATATACCACAACGCTATTATAATAAGTACATTATATTTTCTATGTGTACAAATGTATAATAAAAATGTTTAGTATAAAGCAGATTTTTTTTTCAATGATATACTTTTTATCTTTGGTAATTGTGGAGATCAAAAGAGCTGCAACTAGACTTTATAATACCTTAAAATACTAAATTAAATTTATTAATAAAACACTAACTAGAAGCAAAAACTACGAAAAACAAAGCTAAAACAAATTATAGTTTAACTATAAAAAGATTCACATTTTGAGTAAATTTCACTTTTAAAAAGAACAATATCTAGTAGTAAATATAATATCATAAGTATTTTTAATTACATTGATCGATTAAATTGATTCAACTTATAATTATTTGACTTTAATAAAGTCTGAAATACAAAACAGTTTTACTTTTCTAATTTTAAGATCATTGCAGAATTAGTAGAAAATGTAACTTTATCAAAGTACAGAACTTCGCCAATAGAGGAACTGTTGGTGCTGGCCATAACGGTGCCGCTGTAGAACATTGATGACAGATCTGTTGTGATTGACTCACCTCCAAAGTTTCCAATAAAGACGCAACTGTTACGCCGAGGATACCAACGTTCAATAATAACCAAATTTTCATCAATTATACGTATTTTCATATTCTTACCGGCGGTGCCATCTTTGAAAATAGCTCTCATATAAATTGTTGGAGTCTTCAATCTGGTTTCAATAAATTTCTTTATAACATTTAGATAATGATACCTTGGACCAGATGTAGCCTTTGAATTCCAAGGTAAAATGGCTGCACTCTCATTATTGCCAGTAAATGTCATACTAACTAAATTATGAATTTTGTTGTATTCATGAAAATCTTTTTCAACTTCATTTTTGGATAAACCTTTCAAACCTATTTCATCACCATAGAATAAACTGATAGTACCAGGTAATGCCATTTCAAGAGCTGTTAAAGATAGAGTATTATTTGAATATCGAGAAGAAATCCTTTCACTGTTAACATTTCCCACATTCCAGAGAATCCATGGATAATGTGCTTTGGCCTTTAAAGTGCCAAAGACAACTTTATCAATATGTTTCTTCAATCCTTTAATGCCTTCATCTAAATCTAAATAAACATCAATAAGATCTATTCTGTTAAGGAATACTGTAAGATCATCATTTTTGGTTGACTCTAAAGCTTTTTCACTTGCAATCAATATTTTGTCACTTCCAATGATTTGCTTCCAAATCTGCAGTGATTTAGCATAATTGACATCATTAACATAGTTTTCCAGATTTTTTAAATAAAACCCATCCACATTTTGTGCTTGGGACCAAAATGTAATAGCAGCAGACATGTCACCAAAGTATACTGTTGTATCATTTGTTACAAGTGAAGAATGGTTGGCATTATCTTTTTCTATAGGAGCAATCATATTTAAAACTGGGATATCCAAAATGATGTACATCTCTTTATCATGTATTACTTTTACTAGATCTTGAAAATCCTTCAAATTGCCCAAGCTTCTATCAACTTTAAGCAAGTATGTTGCATGATTATAATTTTCAGGATAATCTTGTGCCTCAAATATGTAATTAAGTCTGACTGTATTACATCCCAAATCTTTAATATAATCAAGTTTTTTTGTTAGACCTCTAAAATCGCCAAATCCATCATCATTAGAATCTTTAAAACTGGCTGGGAATACTTCATAAAACACTTTGCCTTGGTGCCATGGCAAATCTGGATCACAGGATTTAGGCATTGTAATGACCATAGCTATGATTGCTCCCAAACATGCAACAAGTCCTGATACAACAACCCATAATAGTACTTTTCTTATAATAACCCAGTTCCAATTCACAAAGTTTGGTAATTTCCGATTGTTAACAGTCAAATTCCCATTGATTTTACAACCTTCAGGCTAAAACAAAACAAAGTAACATGATTTTCCACATTTTTATGAATGAAGCAGACATATTTGTACTTCTGTGTTTATTTATTAGCATAATCTCACATCACTAATCTCATAGCTTCCCTCACACTCACACACAATCCCACTTACATATAAAAAACATATTTAAAATTCGATACTCACTTGCCCAACAATAAGATCATCATTTTTACTAAGAGTTTGATAGTCCAACATGCTAATGTTGTTTATTAACTGCGCACTAACAGGATCTTGAACGACGGAATTCGAGTCTCCAGATGAGCAAGAATCACCTGCAGACACATCTGCAATATGTGAAAAAGTAAGAAAAAATCCTTGCCTAAATGTGACAGTTATAGATGGGTTCCTGAAAGAAGTAATCTAGATATGTTTTAAATAAAATAAAAACTTCGTATTCACCTGAATTTTGCATATTGGTAATGTTGGAATCTCCGGTTATATCAAGGAATTGGTCTTCATTCATTTCTTCTGAAAGAGGATGCCTAAATTCTAAAGAAGTAGAACATGACATCGTGGGTAGCAGTAAGCACATTGAAGAATTTACACCTCTGAGGTAACTCACGGGTTTATAACCAACAGTTGTCTCTTCGTTAGTACAGCTGGGCTCAGGGGGCATGTCATGCATTTTAGCCTTGTTCGTAAAACTAAAGTCTACGTAAAATAAAGCTTAGATTTTGAGCTCTATAAACTGGAACAAAATTAATATAATAACTACATCTTAGCCTTGGCAAAATATCTAAAGGGAAGAGAAGACCTTTTTATTTTTATTTTTACCAATTTCGGCCTACAGACCACAGATTATAAAAATGTATCAAGCTGAATGGTTTCGTAAGATGGCGGCAGTATAGAACATAATCTGTGAATCTGTATGTTATCTGGTTTTCAAATGACAACTGACAGTTGACAAATTGACAAGAGAATTTTTGATAAAATCATAAATATACGGAACGAAATAGACAAATCGCATAATAATGAGATAAGAATATCAAAACTATGTTTAATATAGAATTTAGCTTTTGAAATAAACTTATAAGTATGTAGTTGTTTAAGTTAATTATCAAATACATCCTATATTTTTGTTACTGTAACATTTTTCGATTTCTGTATACTTTTATGTATTTGTTTTAGGAACAGCTGAACTTTAAACCTGGTGTGTTTATATTACAAAGTACAGTGTCATACTCCCTTATCAAATAATTTAAGACTTTCAAATATAACTTAAAACATATTCACTTCTGATTTACTAAAATGCTTTTTCTTTATAAATCAAAGAACTGTGATGTCGCTGCTTTTGTCAAATTTTATAGAACTTTTACTAGTAAACCAAGAAACGTTAGGGACATTAATTACCAATATTTACAAAGAAGCAAAGTGCCAACAATGCACTTTCAGAAGTCCTTACCTCGTTTGCCTATTCCTGAGTTATTAAAAACTGGTGACCGCTACCTCAAAGCATTAAGACCACTTTTATCCAATGAACAATATACAGAAGCTGAACAAAGAACATTGGACTTTATATCTAAAGATGGAAAGGTATTGCAAGAAAAATTAATATTAAAAGATAAAGCTTATAAGCATACAAGTTATATTTCGGAATACTGGTTTGACCTATATTTAAGAGACCGTGTACCTCTTCCCATTAATTACAATCCATTAATAGTATTCCAGTATGATACTAAACCAGGGTACAATGACCAATTAATAAGAGCAACTAATTTGTTAACTAGTGCTGTAAGGTTTATGAACTCTTTGAGAGAAAATATTTTAGAACCTGAAGTATTTCATCTTCAACCGAAGAAAAGTGATACACCTTTATTTCGAAAAGTAACTGGCTTTTTACCAGAAGCTTTATCATGGTATGTAAACAAGTGATAATAAATCTTATCTTACTTCTTACTAATATTATAAATGAGAAAGTTAACATGGATGGATTTTAGATTTTGTAGCCTGAATGGATGGATTTGGATGAAATTTTGCATAGATCTAGACCATAGTCAGGTAGAACATACAGGCTACCTCCCTTTTTTTAAATTCCACACAGATGGAGTCACTTCTGAAAGCTAATTTAAAATAAACCAAATGCATTGCCTCCAGGTCTAAAACTTAGCTGACATGGGCTTTTCCTATTAAAATGTAAAATAGACGTAAAATTACTTTGAACAAGATCATATTAATTATTCCCCATTGACCTAGCTTAGATCATCGGCAATATCTGTTACCTGATCTTTACATATCACTTAAGTTGACTTTTTATATATTTCTAGGTATGGCGCATATTTATTTAAGGCTTTTCCATTAGATATGAGTCAATTTGATGGATTATTTGGAGCAACTCGCATACCATTGTTAGGGAAAGACAGAATCTACAGAGATCCTAAAAGTAAACATGTTTTGGTTCAAAGGAATGGCAATTCTTATGTCTTTGATGTATTGGATGCAGACGGTAATTATTTATGTTTAAAACTTTATATAGATCATGTACAAATCTGAAATATCATATTTTATACATATTTAATCTAAATAAATTTTATATTGCAGGAAATTTGTTGTTACCTTCTGAACTCCATGCAAATATATCAAAGATCTTGAATGATAATACAGAGAAAGCACAGCATCCTTTGGGAGTACTGACATGTCAAAATCGTAATGAATGGGCTGAACAGAGGAAATATCTAGAAGAGACAGGCAACAAGGAGGTGTTGCAGAAAATAGACTCTGCTATTTTTAATCTGATATTAGATGATGTAAACATAAGTGATGATAAGCATAAGTTATTGAAACATTTCTTACATGCGGATGGCACAAACAGGTATTTCATATTCCAATTTTCTGTAATTAGACTACACATAGACTAAATATTGAAACCAAATTAATAGTTGTGTCGATAACTATCTTTTGCTCGCGACTTCGTCTACGTGAAATTTAAAAAAAAAAAACAAAAGTGTGTAGATGTTCTTCTATTCATCGACAATTATAACAAATTTCGTCGAAATCCGTATAGTCGTTTATGCTATAAACTCTAAAAAGAAGAATAACAGAAAGCAAAAGCTTAGAATGATGGATGAATGTTTGTAGGTAGGCATCTTTGGAACCATGGAATATTAACGAAATTTATATAACAAAGTCGGCAAGAACAAATAGGCTACTTAGTTTTTTTATTCTTTGCTAATCAAAGCTAGTATAAAATGCAATACAAAATAGGTTAATTATATAATAATTTTGTTTCAGATGGTTTGATAAATCATTTAGTCTTATTGTGACTCAAGATGGATGTTCCGGAGTTAATTTCGAACATTCGTGGGGTGACGGCGTTGCTGTGCTCAGATTCTTCCAAGAACTTTACGGAGAAACAACAACAAAACCTTTCATACATCCGGATAGTAAACCAGTAAACAGTAACATTACTGTAAGCAGATTAGGTAATTGTTATCATATTTAAAATATTAATAAGATAGCTGTTGCTCGCGACTTCGACTTTGTGAAATTATAAAATATATCCTATGTTATACAGTGATAAACTAGCTTTTTAATGGTGAAAGAATTTTTAAAATCGGTCCAGTAGTTTTTGAGTTATTCCAGTAAATACAAAAATCCAAAATAAAATCTTTATTAAATTATATATATTATTTATAGTAATAAGTATAGATTATTTGAAATTTACTGAAAACTATTCGTACATACTAAGTTATGTGCTATAGAATGCTTCCCATGGAATAGGGGGACTCCACAACTATGTTAGTAGATATCTGTGACCTAACCATTAGGTTGCATGGTAGATAATTTCAATAAATCTATAAAAGTCTTACAAACCTAATTAGATTTCTGTTGTTTTACAGACTTCAAACTTGACGATAAATCTATAAAATTCATAGAAAAGGCGAAAAGAGAATACAAAGAATGGTGCGATTCCTTAAGCATAGACTATATACTCTATGAAGGTTTAAATAAAGAAGCATGTAAAAAGTTTAAAGTAAGCCCTGACTGCATTATGCAGCTGGGATTCCAGGTAAGAATTTTTAAACCATTTTTATACACAAACATGACATGATCACTATTATGTAAAGTAAATTTACCTGTGAGTTTCCATTGTGGAAATTTTCCTCAATCATTTTTCTAGCTAAGATATTTTTTTTGTATGTGTTTTCGCCTGTCCATATAAATAGTCGTAAAATGTTTATCCAAAATATTTTTTCAGGCTGCTTACCATCTTTTGCGAGGTCAGTACGCGGGCACGTACGAGTCGTGCAGCACGTCTGCATTCAAGCACGGCAGGACTGAAACTATGCGCCCTTGCACAGAACATACCAAGGTATATGTACCAAAACTACCTAATAAAATTACATAATCTATCAGCTTTGGCTCGCCACTCCGTCCGTGCGGAATAAAAAAAAACTTGATTAGTATGTCATATCGTATTCCAGATTGTAATTTAAATCTGTGCTAAATTTCAGCTAGATCCGTTAAGCCGTTCTGGAGATACTTAGTAACAAAATTTAGATGGATGGACAATCTAAATTTTCACCATCTTACTAATATTACAATTAAAATAATATTGATGCATGGATATTTGTTAGAGTTTGTATCCTAAACTGCTGAACGGACCTCGATTTTTCCTTATAGATGTAGAGGATAGTCTGGATGAACACATAGGCTATTTTTTAATTCCACGCGGACAGAGTCGCGGGCGAAAGCTAGTTATCATTAATATAAATTTTCAGTTATTCTGTGACTCGTTACATTTGAACAAGAGCTCCAAGGATGAGTTGCGTGGTATGATGCAGCAATGCTCGTCGTACCACACGCAGCTGGTGAAGGAGGCCGCCATGGGACACGGCTTCGATCGACATCTCTTCGCACTCATGAAATTAGCAGAAGAGAATAATTTACCGAAACCAAAAATATATGATTCCTACGAATATCAATATCTTAATAAATCTATCCTAAGTACGAGCACTCTGTCGGCTCCAAGTGTGATGGCCGGCGGGTTCGGACCCGTCGCTAAGGAAGGTTTTGGAATTGGGTAAAAAATATTTAATTTTATTAAAAAAAAACTTTTTTCAATAACTAAATAATTTACGCACTCCTTATGTGTAGTATCTCATAATAACTCTACACTAACGATAGTTTGAAAAAACCAGAACTGTACAGTTTAACTGATGATACGATGTTGCATACACACGCAAGTTATAAAAATTAAAATTGTGCATTTAAAAATAAAGGTTTGTAGTTGGCATAACGTAGATAACTTGAAATGAGTTTGGCAGTCATTTTTTTTAGTATTATCTTCTCAAGTATTTTAAATATTTAATTTTATTAAATAATTGATACAAGTTATGTTTTTCAGATATTCCGCATTCCCGGACAAGCTGGGAGCAGCTGTGACAAGCTACAAGGCACACAATGATAGCTCTCAGTTCATCGAAGCTCTGCATAAATCATTTATAGATATAACAAAAGTACTTTCAAGTTAAATGTATAAAATATAAGACCATAAAATTATTTTTTCCCAATGAGGCTTAAAACTGCCAACCCTTCCAAGTGCACTTATAAATTATAAGAAATATATTTGTATAATCTATTATTTTTAAAATTATTTAAAACATCAATGCAATAAAATATTTTAGCATAAGTTTATACGAAACAATTATCAATAAATTTATACTTTTATAGTCTTGTGTATTTATTGTAATCATATTTTTTTCTCCTATCTTAAAGCAAGCAATTAGAGTGAACAAAATGTCTTATTTGATGTTAAATGATCATAACAGTCTAGTTTAACATCTCTGTCTACCCAGTTCGCATAATATTTTATACCTTTATACTAATTCATACCCTAAATATAAATGTTAATCTGTAGGCACATAAGTTTAAAATATCTTAACATTGGGTTTGTTAAAAGTATATTGTTTATTTTTCATCTATATCCTGCATGTATATTTTGAGCGTACGCTATATTACTTAATTAAAGATCGTTATAACCCTTGATATTTCATGCAACATATAAATAGATATACGTTGTAACTTCTCTACGACGGCGCTTTATTATCGATTTTCTTATATCCATCTCGTTTGTGTCGGTATTCATAGTCCTGCTATACAGTTTTTACAATCTGTATTAGTTGTTTTATAAAATTTCGACAGTAAAGGCAGAAATCATACAAAATTTGAAGTGTAGACCAAGTTAAGCAGACACGGTAATAAGTCTGTTCTGCATTTGTGTCTATTTTTTAATTGGTGTTTAATATCGTTTTATCTCGGAACTATTAGGAGAAGAGGAACGGTATTTCAAATAGAAAAAGTAAGATATTGCAGTGTTTCGCTTATTAAATGTACTTATAAGCACCAAAAAATTAATTAATTAGAACTATGAATACGGCTCCATTGTATCTCAAATACGTCGTTCCAATGTACGACATAGGCGCTAACGTGCCGTTGTCAGTTTGAAGTGTGTTTTAGTCTACTTAGAAAGCAATGTTTGCAAGAAAATAATTCTGTAGTAGCGTGGTTTTATGTAGTTGCTAACTGTAATTAATATTATTGGAAACAAGTTGTTGTATCGTATGTATTAAAGTATTTTAATAAATTGAGTTGAAATGTGATGCATAGTACGAAAGGCATTGAACATAAGTCATTATTGAATTGTGACACCCAAAATGTCAAAGTTCATCCCTGGTGTTAGTTTTTAAAAAAAGTAGAATATTTCGTGTCAATGCAAGGTGTTATAATGTTTCGTGGTTGTTGAGTGTTCCTTTATTATTTATCAAGTTCCCATTCTGATGGATTGCAGGTAAACGCTGTAAAACGTTAAAAATCATTGTATTATTCTTGTTTTTATGTCACTGGAAAATACGAAAGTGAAACATATTTATCGATTTTTGTATTCATTTATTTATAACACGATAATACAAATGTAATAGATTAATTTTCCACTTTTTAAAATAAATCGTTAGGAGAGATTTATTTTGATTAAGAATAACTGTAAATTAACGAATAATAATTGAGAAAAATACAGTAATCATTCTTTCAATAAATTGACGATTCATTATTGGTTAATGAATTCGAATTTAAGATAAATCAACCAATAGTTTAGTTGCTGTTTGAAATAAAACTTGATTCTCAACCTTTATTATGCTAATATTCTATGCTTGCCTAGATAAGGCTTAATAGTTTGTTTTCCGCCCAATTATTCGTAATTTAGAATATCACAAAAAATAAATAAATTCACTATGCTGAAGGAAAAAATGTAATATACTTATTCTGTACAATAAATGGTTTGTTTGAATCTGCAATCATTTTATAAAAAGGTATTTTGTAATTCTTGTTGATATCCAAATTTTCAGCTAATAAAGTTCAGACATATAGTATGTTCTTAATAGATTCTATGCATATAACTATTTTATTAATGGTCACTTGCTCATTTAAAATTTAAACAAAGGGGCATATTCATGAATACTCTGTGGCACAAAAATCCATAAGTGAAAATTTGCATTAGCATCCTACTCCCTATATTCACCAATACTGTGGATGATGGAATTTACAATAACAAAGGGTTATTTTTTGTTACAGATTATGGTAAAAAGAAATTATTGAACGGTGCAACAAAAATCTAGCAATATGCTGATTAAGGAGTATAGAATACCTCTTCCACTCACAGTGGAAGAGTATCAGATTGCACAGCTTTATATGATAGCAAAGAAAAGTCGAGAAGAGAGCTCTGGTGAAGGCAGTGGTGTGCAAATTATAGTAAATGAACCATATGAAGACGGTCCCGGTGGAAAAGGACAGTACACTCAGAAAGTGTATCATGTTGGGAGCCATTTGCCAGGCTGGTTTAAGAGTTTACTTCCAAAGTCAGCTTTGACTGTGGCAGAAGAGGCTTGGAATTCTTATCCATACACTAAAACAAGGTATACCTGTCCATTTGTTGAAAAATTTTCACTTGAAATTGAGACTTACTACTTTGCTGACAATGGTCATCAAGAAAATGTATTCAAGTTATCTAAAAGCGATTTGAAAAATAGATTAGTGGATTTCATAGATATTGTTAAAGATCAGACCAGTGAATATATAAAAGAGGAAGATCCAAAATGTTATGTGTCACAAAAATGCAACAGGGGTCCCCTCTCCGACACTTGGTTAGAAGA